GGTGCAACCTTTGAGTCGGTACCTAGTTTTCAGGGTTGGCTGTACCTGCGCTCGGCCTGGCGGTTGCTGGTGCGTTGGAGGCTGGTGTGATAGAAGCTGGTGCTGGTGTAGCGGTACTGCCAACTATCTCTGAGTCATGTTTTCCATACGAGTAGTCGTACTTCCCTTACGTTCATCTGGTGATACTGGCGTCTTCTGCTCATCCTCGTCTTCCGAGGCAGCCTCGCTGTCTCTGTTGGTTATTTCCATTGCCTGGAATTTGGCGTGGATCTCCAGATCGGAGAGCGCCTTGGCCGCCAATGCCGTTATATGCTTGCGTATTTCTTGCGTTGTACGCGCGCATTCAAACCCCAATGCCTGTGCAATGGACACTAGTAGCTCCTTGTGTATATCATCCAGCCACGCGGTGTTGACTAGCTCTGCCATTTTATTCGTCTAAATTTTCTTTGCACGTGTACGATTTGCCGATTTGTGGTTTCGGGGCTCTGGTGAATCGTACTTTATTAGATTATTCTCTTACTTACTATCAAACATATAACAAAATAACAACTGGAAATATTCAGTAGCGTCACTTGCAGTGGCTAAGTAATGGTTTCTTGTTCCGTTACGAGCCCGTTAGGCTGTAGGGGCGTGGCTTTAGTACTGGTGGGCAGCGCACTGCTGATGCCGATGAGTGGCGCGCTGCTAACGTCTATAAGTGGTGCTCTGACCGCGTCGGTATGTAGCGCTCTTGAATGTGAGTTTCGCTCTGGTCGTGCCGGTAAGTGGCGCTCTAACAACGTCGGTGAGTAGCGCTCTGGTGACGCCGGTATGTGGCGCTCTCGCAATGTCGTAGAGTAGCGCTCTAGTCGCGTCGATGAGTTGTGCTGTGACGTTGTTGACAAATGGTGCTCTGATCCCGTTCTGAGGTCGATGGCTAGTCGCGCTCTTGGCCGCGTTGATGAGAGGTGCTCAGTTAACGTCGTTGAGTAATGCTCGAGTCGCGCTGATGAGTGGCGCTCTGGAGGCGTCAGAGACCAACGGCCTTATTGGCCCTGCTGATGGCGCTCGTCTGGCGGCAGTAAGTAGCGCTCTTGTTGGCATCCCTCTGCTGACGGCGGTAAGTGGCGCTCTTGTTGGCCCTGTTGACGGCGAGCGGTGATCAAATCCGGTTTGGTGCTCCCTACTTCCGGGCGGTGATGTCTTGTGGTGTGATCAACGACGCACAAGCAATCCCTCCGTTCGGTCGTAGTTATTTAGCTCCCAACTCGTACTTACGGCTCCCTATTACTGAGTGGGGATGTCTTGTATTGTATCAACGACGCGCAAGCAATCGCTCCTTTCAGTCGCAGGTGTTCAAACGCGACCACAGCTCCGTGCTGACTGACTCTCTTTTGGCTGTGTTGTATCTTTAATAGGCTATGTGCTTGATGTTGCGTGGTCGCGCAGCTACATGTTGATTTGTGATGTTGCGTTGTCATGGCAACGAAGGCTGTCGGGTGTTGCTAGTTGCTTTTATGGCGGGTATTTGTGTGGGCCAAAATCCTCTGGGATATTTGGTCCTCACAATATATGGTTACGTACAAGTACATGGGTTGGCAAAATAGGCACAAACATAATAATAATAATAATAGATTGGCGCTTACACATATGTTAGTATTTGGCCGAGGTTTTCCTCCGATTTATCGTGTGCTCCTTGATGTTATCACACAAAGGGGAGGGACCTGCAGTTTACGCTAACTCCGAACGACAATTGTATTTTTATGAGAAGATGTTTTTCACGGCACAAATACACTCGGAGGTTTGCCATTGCCTGCCGAGGGGCGACCGCTGTTTAAAAAAACCTTTTTGTTAAAGTTTTTTTGCGATGTTGCTTTGATCAGGGCTTGAACCCAGGCGCTTCGAAGTGGAAGCGCGCACTGCCTACCACTACACCACAGCGGTACAAACATATATAAAATGCTGTATAAATAAATGTATATCAAATTGTGAGTATATAAGAGCATTGGACGGCAGCCGCTCTTGAGCGACACCAGTTTCTTACCACGAACATTTAAGTGGTGGCCAGATCTTTTGAATTCTGAACACTAAGGAATTGCATATTAAACAAACGAAAACAGTTTCCTATTAGTTTTAAGATCTAAGAAAGCCGAAAAAATATAGTATGGTATATTTGTACATGCTTTGTCAGGTTTCACATAACCAGGATGAGTAACCTTGATGACAGCGCAAGTAATGAGTTTCAACCCTCCAACTCTGCATCCCTTTTGCAGTAGTTCAGAGAGAGTTCTGAATTTTGTAGGGCGGAACTAGCGATTGGCCAGACTGTCTCTAAATTTTTCTGCAGGGTACATACATACATATGTGTACTTTCAACCAAAATAAAATCGTAAACTACTTCTGTTTAACCTATTTACCGTATTCACTTTTGACGAATTCAAAGGTAAAACAGATGAATCCGCAGATACAGTTTTTGAAGTCTTAATGCGGAAATACAGATTTAATTGAAAAAGTCAGAAAACAAAAGTTGTGACGGTGTTTTAAAATTTTGGGAGAAAGCTAAAATTTTCCACTTCTTAGAATGCTTTCAAGACAAGTTTTAAACATACCAGCTATTAAGCAACTATTAAAAGATTTTTTTCTGCGTCATGCAGAATTCTAGATGAAAGACGTACACGATTGGTGAAAACCTTGACAAAATAATATTTTTAAACAAAAATATAAGATAATGTCATTTTAAAATTATATTGGATGAATATTAATGAGAATTCTTTTCTATGAAATTTGTAAAAAAAAAATAATGGTGCGTTCATGCCAGGCAAGGTGTTTGGCACATCTTTTGTTACAATGCCTGTGCGATAAAGACTATTTATATGAAATGATATTTATACATATAATTAAAGTCTCAAATTGAAAAAAAGTGTCAGTAAAGAAGCGTTCGTGAACGTGATTGGAAAAAATAAAACAGATGTTAGTGTGGGTGATTTACAAAACCATCAACGTGAGCGTGCGTGAACGTCAGCCAAAATCACTCATGCGCCCATCTCTAAAATGGACCACACTAAATGCTCCTTTTCATATAAAAACTCGTACGTGTCCCACCCGTGACAAACGTTATCCCACCCGTGACAGAGGAATCTCGTTTTTTTTTTTTTAATACAGCAATAATTTTTTTGTAGTTTTTGCTTTGCATGAATTCGTGGTTCTTTGCTTTATTATAAGACATCAGGTTCACACAGAAAAGTGAAAAAATTAGCAGATATATCTTCTCCAAAAAACAAATTCTTTTTTTCCCCCACATGTGAGAGAAGAAATAAATTTTTTCTATATAAAAGTAAGCTGAAATTTTTTTCGTATTTTGTAATAACTGATATAATAGTCAAATAGGTGTAGTTTTATCAAAATGTAGAATTGTTGAGTACTTTATAATTGAATTTAAACATGAAAGACCATATTTGCTGTACAAATGTCCCACCCGTGACGTTAGAATCGCCCATATGTATATGCACGTTTACATGCAAGTAGGCTAATTCCATGATTCATGATAGTGGCATTAGAGTTTTGACACTGCCTAACGAAAGGTTTCACACACACAGCGTATTGCAACTAAGGATGTTTCGAATGTCATATATTTCACATTCGCGAATTCGAATGCGAATGCGAATTTCAAGTGAGAATGCGAATGTTAGGAATAAAAAGCTATAATCACCCTAGTCATCGTTTTCATTACTTTAAAATTTTGTAAATTTCTAAAACATTGAACGAGTGCTTAACCTACATATACAGTGTTTTAAGGGGCATATTATATCTCAAAAAAGTAATTTCACTGCCTTTTCTCCCACAAGGCGATTTCTTCGAAGCTTGTATATAAGGCTTGCTGCACTGAACAATAGCTTACTTGGAACGCTGGCCGGTGGACAGGGTTGTCGTTTTGATCCATATACTTCAAATGTGATACGTGTTTGTGCAAATTTTTGAAAGATACTGTAGAGTTAATACTATTTACTATTGTACTTTGTTCATTTTTGTACTTTGTTATTTTTGAAATTATTGAATTAAGTTCTTTTTCAATTAATGTAAATCAAAAAGAAAATTTTTGATACTTCAGAATTTTGTTTTCTTTGAAACTTAAAATACAATAAATTTAAATTAAAATTTTGTGAAAATGAAATTCTTTTAACTACACCACAATTGGCGATCCTGCCAGGAGCAATATAAGAAGTTCATTGAAATCTATCATTTTTGCACCTTCCGTTGTGAATATCAATGCAATTATTTTTGTATAATCATCATTTCGAGTTCCTTGGAGACGCAAATAATTCAAGACTTAATTCATTTTTTCATCTAAACGCAATATGGCATTGATCAAACTAATATAAATGCAGCAGATTATCATTATATATCACGTCGGTCCTCCAGAAGTAGTCTCAGTTTAACCAAGATCTACAGCAACAACAGCGGCACAGTGAGCACAAATGCAGCATAAGTAACAACAAAAACTCACTTAAAATATCAGAGGCGTCAATATCATACGAACAGTCAATCAAACCATCAACTGAGTGTCAAGTTGTATGCGCGCCCACAGCGTCTATTCGTCAAGGCATTCATTTACAAAGATAACAGTAGTTCGGATATACGCATATAACTAATTACAACCGCGTCGCAACAAATTGGTCACAATTTCTCAGCTGCCATAAGGCAACAACTCAAACATTTAAAAAATTGCAAGTAAAATATATGAAATATAAGATATACATATATATATATATGTAGGGACCAACCCTAACACTTGTCGCAGTAGTAAGTGGCAACACCAAAAGCCGCAGTAGACGAACAGAGCTGTTTGACATTCGTTTGTACTAACTGAAACCAACTTCATTCATTCAACGTATTTTCTAGCGACGCTAGTAAAGTCAGAATTTTCCGTGTATTAAAGCAACTTATATTTGTTTAATTTCTAAGTTAATAAAGACATATAGAAGTAACGATTCTATAACTGGTGACCCCACTAAGAACATAATATGGTGAACGTAGGTGAAGATAGGTACGAAGACGCTATCACTTCTTTCCACATGGCACGGCTCTCCATCAAACCGCCACCGTTCTGGAAGCCTGATCCACGCTTGTGGTTCGCACAGGTGGAGGCGCAGTTTGTGCGAGCAGGTATTACGGCCGATGAGACGAAGTACTACACAATTGTAGCTGAAATTGATTCAGCAGTTCTCACTCACGCTACCGACATAATTTCATCACCACCTGTTAGTGGCAAGTACGACGCACTAAAGCAAAGACTGATTACTGAATTCGGCGAGTCGAACGAAAAAAGGCTCAAACGCTTATTTGAAGGCTGCGAATTGGGCGAGAAGAAACCCACTACTTTGCTTCGTAACATGAAAGACTTAGCAAGTCAGCGAGTCGATAAACACGTTTTGAAATCATTGTGGCTGCGACGTTTGCCTGTGCAAGTGCAGCAAATTTTATCAACGCTCGAGGGTGATATCGAAGCTTTGGCTAAGAAAGCCGATAATATCATGGAGATTTCAACGACAAATGGTAACATAGAGGTCGTCGGTGTACCCAGCGAGGATTCATTACCTGCTATTGCGGATTTGATAAGCAGGCTCGATCGCCTCGAACGTGGCAGCAATAACGGCAAGGTCAGGGAGGAACGGAACCGCAGCAATGCAGTTTCGGGTACAACGTCATCTACCAGTTCGCGCAGGACGACAACTCAACAAGCACACGACACTTGTTGGTATCACCGCACTTTTGGTGAAAATGCAACACGATGCCGGCAGCCATGTGCTTTCGGTCAGAAACGTTCGGAAAACTAATCAGTCCTCCGTTCAAAGCGGCTCCTGCGGAGGCTGATAATAACTGCAGCCGCCTTTATGTCCGAGATAGGACATCTTCACTAAAATTTCTTGTAGACACCGGTGCGGAGATATCAGTGGGACCCAAAAGTTGTAACGACAAGCGATCGAGGGCGACTATGAGGCTGGTAGCTGCAAACAACACGCAAATTAGTACCTACGGTACTAAGCGTATGGTGTTGGACCTAGGTTTGCGGAAACAATTTTCGTGGTTGTTTGTAATTGCTGACGTAGGGTACCCTATATTGGGTGCTGATTTTTTAAAACATTTCGAGATTTTGTTGGACATGAAGAGTAAGGCGATTATTGATAGAACAACGAGCGTACGATCGATTTGTCAAATCATGAAACTACCTTATAGCATCATCTCATTAAGAGGGGTAAGTTTATTTCAGCAGATATTAGCGCAATACCCCGCGCTCACCAAACATTTCACCCCGGGCGGACAGAACTTCGACAGCCGTTCGACATTTCATTGAGACGAGAGGGGCCCCTGTGGTACAAAAAGTGCGCCGACTCTCCCCCGAGAAGCTCGCACTTGCAAAAGAGGAATTCGAGTATTTATTAGAACGAGGAATTTGCCAACGCTCGAAGGGCCAATGGGCTAGTCCTTTGCATATGGTGCAGAAAGCGAATGGAAAGTGGCGGCCTTGCGGCGATTATAGCCGGTTGAATGCGAAGACCTTGCCAGACAATTATCCGGTCCGCCATATTCAAGATTTCGGAGGGGACTTGTATGGAAAAACTATTTTTTCTGTAATTGACTGTAAAAAGGCTTACCACCAAATCCCTGTACACCCAGCAGATGTTCCGAAAACCGCCATCCTCACCCCATTCGGCTTGTTGGAATTCAGGTATAAGACGTTCGGGCTTAGGAACGCAGCACAAACGTTCCAGCGTTTCATTGATGAAACAGTAATGGGATTGCCGTTCGCCTTCCCTTACCTCGATGATGTCCTCGTCGCCTCCACGTCACCGGAGGAGCACGCGACACATCTCCGTCAGCTTTTTGATCGCTACCGAGAAAAGGGCTTAATTATCAACAGTGAGAAATGTCAGCTCGGCCGGGAGGAGGTAGAGTTTCTGGGACATCTAGTCTCATGCAAAGGCATTAAACCGCTGCCTCAGAAAGTAAGGGGCATCATATCATTGAAGAAACCGAAGGAGGTTCATGAGCTGAGGAGATTTTTAGGGGCCGTCAACTTTTACAGACGTTTTTTACCGCACGCTACCGCCATCGAAGCGCCACTTCAGCGACTCATGGGCCCTTGCAAGAAACACGACAGGACAGTTATTGCCTGGACAGTAGAGGCGACGGAGGCTTTTGAAAATCTTAAGAGGCAATTGGCGGAGGCTGCATTGTTAGCTTTTCCGATGAAGGGCGCGACAATCGCTCTCATGACCGACGCTTCGGATATCGCTGTAGGTGCCGTTCTTCAGCAACGAGTGAACAATGTTTGGGTGCCGTTGGGTTTCTACTCCCAGAAGTTTACACCAACTGAGAAACGGTATAGCACATATGACCGAGAGTTACTTGCCATATATAAATC